GGCAGGGCGAAAGCTCCGGGCTAAACATGCAGTACGTGGCGGGCTGGAGCTAAAAGCCGCATAAAGCACACAGCCTTAGTCCACGGTTAGCAAGTGATGGATAGTTAGCAGGAGCTCCGAGTCTTCGTCTAATCTGTTACAGTAAACCTGTGCCAAAGCCTGAAGGGAATCAGTGGGGGCTAGCTGGGAGTGGGCTTGACGTGAAACCATTTGTGAAGACGAGCGATTCTCTTAAGTAAGAAACTAACAGTGGAGAGAGGGAGTGAGGTAGCTGGAGAGCAGCGGAGGCAGGAGGTGAGGAGAATGAGTGAGAGTGTGAGGGAGAGCGAAGGAGGAAGAGATACAATAATGAGTCCTGTAGCCATGGAGTAAATGAAGAGGGATTGACAGAGTGAGGGATCCTCAAGTGAAATAATGTCAATGCCACTCTGCCCATTAGAGGGAGAGGGGGATGGTGGAGGAGAGGGTAAAGAGGGATGAATGGAGGGACAGAGCTACATCTTACGTTGGAGAGGAAGCACATAAATTATTTGTGACACCCCGGCAACACACACACACACACACACACACCACCAACAAAAAATATGAAATATGAAACAACAAAACAAACTGACAATAGCAGCCGGAAAAAATAAAGAAATAAAAATAGAAAAGGCCTTGGAAGTATCCAATAAATTCTCAGAGACATGTTGTTGGGATATTTGATGTGGAACAATAATAATCACAGTGACATCTGCCTCTCCTGCTCTCGAAGGAGGCGGATATCGCCCGTGTGTAAGAAGGGGTTAATCTTCCAAACCCAATAAGGTTGGATAGTGAGGCACTTGTTCCTCGATAAAGAAGTGATAGGATCTGTGGGTCTGGTCCCTTGGCGCTTGTACAGGGCTAGAGCAAATATTGTTAATGTGCTGTGGTTTACTTCAGCCAAGGCGAGAAAAACAGCTCGGCTTGACGAGGGAAGACAGTGGCAAACCAGAAAATGACAGAAATGGCCGAGCCGCTCAGTTCGGCCTCCCCGGTACTGGCACATGCACCCGAGCTCGCTCGGCTGCATAAATAAGAGTTCAGGAAGATTAAGATCTATAAGTGTCTCTATTTCTCGTTTTACCTGCTCCGCCTTGTCACAACAGGGATCTGAATGCAGTTCAGTGAAGTGCCTAATAACTGGAGCAGTAGGTAGGGAAAGCAGGAGGCTTGACATTAAGACCCCGGTGTTTTGGAAATTCGATACTCTATTGACCCGTGTACTACTATCTCAGCGTAGAGATCTGGTGTCAGCAGATTGTAGTCTGGTGTTGGGAGCCGTTTCTTACAGGGCTCTTGTAACAGGGGCCCATTGAGTCTGGGAGGCAGCTGGGGCCTGATGGGCTGGAGCTGGGTGGTGATCGATACTCACCGCCCTGCAACGGATGACCTCACTGTCATGGCTGCCGGCTGTGGACACTGCATGCTAGTCATTAGTGCTGGGGCACCAATCAGGAGCTTAGAGTTGTCAATACCTGCCTCTTACAGATACTGTGGCCATCTGTCAGTGTATTGTGTAACGGCCTGAGTAAATATGGGGAAGCTCTTTTGAACAATAAGAACATGGTGTACTATCGATGGGAAAAGAACAAAAAAGCTCCCGTGTAAGTAATTTAAGAGATCCTTGAGAGGTTCAGAAACCTCAAACCTAACTTTGCTCCCCCCCCCCCCAAGTCGTTAAAAACAACGAAAGCCTGAAAAATACATGAGTTAAAAAAATGAATAAAATTGACCAAACAGTAAACTTGAATGGTCGATGGAACCTCCTTAATAATCAAACATTACCCTCTTCACTGGAATCAAAAGGGTGGACATTAATGCATGAGTGACATCAACCCGGCAATTAGGTTGGCTATTTAAATGAGAGGAGGCCTTCCTCGTGTTTGTTTCTTTCTCCTCTCCTGCTCCTTTTTTTTCTCCTATCCCCCCTCTGTTTGATGATGGGAGAGGGTGAGCTCGAATTAGGGCGATGGGTCTTCCTTTGAGTGTCAGCCTAAAATGATCAGAGTAAAGATAAGAGGGTCTAGCAGCCCTCAAATCAGTCAAAGTGCCAAAGTCGGCCTTTTTCTCCTCAATTACCGGGTCTGTGAAGCCAGGGAGTGGAAGGCGCAGAGCCTGCTGCATTACTAAAGAGACAATCTATTTCCTCTTTGACCAGAGGGAGAGAAATCATTATGGCATGATTAGTAGCTTCGGCAGTGGGCAAGCACGGAGGTACTACAGGAGAGCCGTATTAATTGCCTTAGACCGAGGCATGAGCAGGATTGTTTTAACGTTGATTTGCGGACCTGTATGACTAGCTGTCGGAGATAAAAGCCCATGTCAGGTCTTAGTTACACTGGCAGACTTTGAACACACAGACTGAGAGGCTTGATGTCAAAAAGAGCTTCTGTAGCTGCCCTGGAAGTCTTTCTCTATACGCCTGTCGATGTCTTCCTCTTTGTCTTTCTTCACACTTCATAGTTTTCCTTTACGCCTCCCACTTTCCCTCCCTTTACTCCCCCTTTCCCCTCACACGGACTGCACCCCACCCCTTCCCATGCTCCCTTTTCTCTCTCTCCTCCAACTGATAGCTGCCTTGGCCGATTATTTCATCCAGTGCAGTCCACTGAGAGCCTCCTCTACCGGCTTTGGAAGAGCTTTAATTAGCCATGTTAATATCCCCTTCATTGGCCTTAATATCACTCAACACCTTCCTCCATCTCGGCGGCCACCAGGGTCCCCCTGTCCTGTCAGAACAGCTGATTATTGAGAAGGATAGCTTTAATCAAACCTAATTGCAGTTCATTCTTTCTCTCTATCCCCCTTTGCCCTCCATTGCCAACATCTAATGGCAGCGACGACTTGATATCCCATTAAAAAACAATTAAACAACCTCCTTTTGTCTCTGAGCGTGCCAAAACACCAGCACAAACTTCTGTAGATATTTAAGAAGTAAAGGAGGGAGAGAGGGGCCTCATCTCAATTGCTCTCCATCTCACCAAGGACCAATTTGCAAGGCGCTCACAGAAAATCTTAACCAACTCAAACGTAATGGATGCCATAGCATCGCCAATGCTGCGGACGATGAAAATTAAGCGTACCTTTTTAAGAGAGAAACTGCGCTTAATTGCCTTTATAATATTAAACATAAAGAAGCTACTTTATGATCGCGTGGGCGCTGGATTCCTTGTTTTTATTGTTTCCTAACTTTGGGTTTCGCTGCAGCCAGAACAGTATGTAAAAGCATTAAAGGCGTCCAAGACAGAGACGGGACTAACTCTGAAAGTGATGCGCTTCTTCTTTTATGAAGTGAATGCATTGCCGGGGAAATATATTCTGTCTCTTGCTCTGACATAAATTGTCTCTCAATAGGCGATGCATGTGCATGCACATCGTCACACAAACACAGCACAGAGCAAACACACACATAAATACACACCTTCCGTACGGGAGGCGACAGACAAATAAAAGTCGTATTTCAGGTCTGCTTTCCGCAGATGTCTGCTGCTCTACATTATGACTCTTTGGGGAAATAAAAACAGGGTCAGGGAATTAGAGTACATAATGGTCATTTTGATGATCAGCCAACAGATGCAACCCGAAAACACAGTGAACACAATCAAGTGAAATGCACTAATGACAAGTCAGGTTTTTTACGGCCTCGCCACACACCGACAGGCAATCAGCATTCTGGCATGGGTTAAAACGTCTTTTATTGATGTCTAAGCCAAAGCTCCTTGGATGTGGAGTGAACATATTTTCTCACCTCTCCTCTCCCTCCTGGGTCCTCGGTGAAGCACAAGGTATAGGAGTCTATCGAAGAACGCTTCTAAATGACCAGTGCATGTGTTAATGTGGCCAGGGTTAGAAGGGTCATTTCAGACTCCGATTTATGGCCTGGCCGGCGTCCCACTGGGCGAACGAGAAGTCTTAAGTGTTGTGAAAGCGTCTATGCAGCCGCTGAATGAAATGGCCAAGCAATCTATGGTAATCCAGAAAGCCACTGTGATTCTGTGAGCCAAGTGAGTATTACAATGGCAACAATGTCATTGAATATTGTAATAATAGTGCAACGTGATGAAAAATAAATATGTCTGCCTGTGTTTATAATTGGAGAGAGCAACGCCACGATCGGTCACGATTCTGTTGGGAGACTTTACAAAAACAAAGTCGATTTCATTGTTTATTATGTGTGGTCATGTGTGGTTTAGCACAATAGGCTGCATTTGAAATCATTTCACTCCTTGGTCTTTTATTTTTTCTTCTCACTTGTAAATCCTCATCTTTAACTATTTCACGTCAAGAGGAGCCACGTGACATGCAACTCTCAATTTGAAGCCTTGTCAATAAATTCGGCGAGACTTGGAAGAAGGCGGCTTATAAGAACTAACCAAGCCCAGATCTCACTCAGACGTGACATTTGTTCAGAGACGATTAGCCAGGTTGTAATTTGTGGCATAATTGCTTCACCCACCCACAAGTACATGGGTGTGTGTATGCATTACGTGCGTGTGACTGTGTGTGTGTGGCATAGTGTGGTCCCAGGAGTGTCCGCCTAATTGCCTGACAGGACTATAAGTTTTGTGGCGCGCTCTCACCTTGTTAGGTCCTTTATCCCTGATGCTCTTCAAACAAGACCTGGTCACAGGTGGGCCTCATTTGCTTCCCTATTGAACAGGAGAACTTTAATTGCACAGGGGGTGTCCTGGGATTAAAGAGGTGGGCGGAATATCAAGTGACTTCCTGTATGTTAGTGGCAGATGGATGTTGGGGAAGACCTGTAAACTCAGGTGAGAGGATAAGATCACAAAGAGACCGACGCTCTTGATTTAAAAAACAAACACAGAAAATAAAACAGCATGACGTCAGGAACTGAAATCATGTGATGAATAAGCAGCTCAAGCGCGTTTGATATTCGGACACATTTCTGTTTCACATACCGGCTTATCGATTCCAGCTAACAGTTTTTGCCGTTGCTCTGTGCTCTCTTCCAGATTCTTCCTAAAGTTCTTCCTCAAGTGCAATCAGAACTGTCTGAAGAATGCAGGGAATCCACGAGACATGCGCAGATTCCAGGTGACTGAAACCTATTTCACACATACGCTCTATTTCTGTCACTGTCTCTCACTGTCGGTCTCTTTTCTTTTCCCAGACACACACACACACACACATGCACAGGTGTAGAAATGCGCAGCTACAGCTGCTACTTCATACTAACTCACACTGACACACATTCTCATATGAACACATTCTTATTACTGGCACTGAAAGAGGCAAAAAAACAAGAGAGAGTGAGGGATTTTGTGTCCTGTGTGCTCTGGACAGAATATTTATTAGGGAATACCATCTGACACAAATAAGGATATAGGATTTAAGAGTGCCATCAATTGTGTTCCTGACAGCGTTCTGAGCCTCGGCACAGAGGGGAGGACGATCCAACCACATGTAACAACAGTGTTAACTCAAGAGCTGTCTGGCAGAGGAAATGTACCTTTCTTTCTGCACACACATATGCGCAAGCACGCACACAGATGCAAACACACACATGTGAATGCATGCACATAAATGCTGCAGGCACATATGTTTGCTTTCTTTATATTATTTTTACTATTCCAAGCCACATATGCATGCACTTAATGCCACTCACAGGCATTTCTCTGTGCAGCTATTGAAAACATCTGAGAACGGCTGCAGCTCAGGCTGAAATGACACAAAAACTGAGTGCGTTAACTGTTTCTTTTACCCTCTCACTTCTAATGTGTCAAGAAGTTGAGCCGTACAGTGATTGACCCCCCCGCTCATTCATTTATCCAACCATTCATCCATCCCATCTTGACATTTTTACCAGAAGCAGCCCACTAGGTCAAGGTGAGAGAAAAGGAGAGTTAGTGTGATTTGTCCTATCAGGGTAACTACAAACTACAGGAGGACGTCCATCACTGGCAGCACTGTTGTGTGATAGACACATAAGCCAGCATCCTCCAGGAGGAAGCCCAGACATGAAACAGACAAGACAGGGTGTCCCCTCCTGATGTCACCACCATCAGACCTCCCCTGCCTCCTCAAATCTTCCCTCAGGGTGAATGTGGACTGATGCATGACAGCCACCGTGGGCTTCACTTCTGCATGTCAGAAGGAATGCAAGAACTAAGTTTCACTTTTTTCTGTCTAAAACAATTGGATTCGTTTTATTGTTGTTCATGGTCATACCTTCTTTTTTTTCCTGTCTAGCAGTTAGTATGCAGCACCCCACTCCCAAATGGATTTCACAGATGTTCCACCGTAGGTGTTTCTCTGGCCAAAGTTGTGTATTTTACATGCCTTCGCCTTTACCTATTACCCCCCAAAACCAGCTGGAGGCCAGAAAGGGCCCAATCCATCATCCTCTGCTTGGCCCAGCTCTGAACCTGCTCACAAGAATGGAGCTCTTTCACTTCCCCTTCTCACTCTACCTTCCCCAACACCCCCCACATTCAACTAACCAAGCTAAAAAAAGTAAAAAAAGAAAAAAAAAAGTACCCCCCTAAATTCCACCGCTACACCGAGGTCACTCACCGGCGAAGCAGACCTGAGAGGGGCTCTCTGTTTCCGGCTCAGAAACACTTTGGCCATTCACACTCCACTCACTGTTTGGAATGCGGTAGCCAAAAAACAACAACAAAAATAAGCTTTATGAAACATGGAGTGTGGCTTGGAATCTGATCCTAGTAAGATGTTTGCTGAGTGATGAGACGGCGAACGGCTCGGCTGCTAATGACTCCAGTAATTATTTAAAAGCGTGGCCTCCCGTGCTCAAATAGGTGATCCAGCTGATCAATAATTCTGAGCTTTGGCTGTGATGAAAGTTGGAAGTGTGGCTAAACGGAAATGATATTTTACCGATTGAAAAGTCAATTAGCTGCAGACAAAAGCAGGACACTCCAAAGCAATATAGATGAGAGGCGAGGTGATTGTAAAGTGATGCGTCCAAAGTGGACAACCACTTCAGTGGTTTTTGCAATAGTAATCAATAGAACAAACGTTGGTTCTTCACCCAGATATATGGCATTTCTCATGTGTTTGAGTCTCTAACTGTATAAAAAAGCTTTTTCTTCCAGCTTGTTAAAAGACGTTTCGCTCCTCCTGCAGGTTGTCGTATCGACGACCGTCAATGTGGACGGCCACGTGTTGGCCGTCTCTGACAACATGTTTGTACACAACAATTCCAAGCATGGGCGAAGGGCTCGCAGACTCGACCCTTCAGAAGGTACGCCTCCTTATCTGGAGAATGGTAGGCACATTTTTGCATCTTATAATTTGCTACGCTCCTTCATTTCTCCCCCCTTTTTAGCTCCTTTTAGACATCATTCCACATTTCAGATCACAAACCTAGTTGCTTCTAGTTCCTTACAATCTTTTTGTTTCCTGATCACTTTTAAAATTTTATTTATTTTTCACTTTTTAAGTTTCTTTTTGCCTCCATCATCATTTGTGCTCTGCTGTGACAGGAAACAGTATGCATTGGGCAGCCTGTTTATCATTTCAGTGTACTGACAACTGTGATGAGATGCAGGCTAATTTAAAAACGCTATACTGCTTCCAGTCTCCTAATGCACCTACATTTGTCCTAAAAGCCGATGTGAAACATGATCAAATTGCTGAAGAATTTGGCTGTGAGGTCAATTTCCTGCCATTGGGGTTCTGCAGATTTAACTGAGAGAAAGCTGAAACAGGGAGAAGAAGTAGGGAGGGAGGTGTTCAGTTGATGGTGTGTGTGTGTGTGTGTGTGTGTGTGTGTGTGTGTGTGTGTGTGAGAGCACAGAGGGGTGGGGTGGTCTATGAGAAAAACAGAACTTACTGTTTTTCTTCCAACTGATTCCATATGATAGACTGATTGCCTTCTCAGCCAAAAGAGAGAAAAGTAGGACCACCAAACCATGGGAAATCAAAAACGTCAAACGCACTAAGCGCAACCTTTTGACCCTCACGGCCTCCACTTGCAGACGGATCAAGCACACAGCTGAAAGATTGCTGGAAAAAGAGGAAAAAAGAAAAAGACCAAATGTGGAAATTGCTTATCTTTGCGTTTCAAAAGGCTAATTATGGCTGGGCAAACAGTTTATATACACCACTGACTAAAACAAGCTTCTCTACACATTAATGGGCATTAATAGCTATATCACCAAAAGCAAATGTAATATTTAATACAACAGCGGCTAATACATAAAAAAAAAGACCAGACAATTAATATATCTCAATGCTCTCCAGTCCTAGTGGGGGGAAAAAGCTAATCTATTTGTTTTTGTCTTTATTAATGACTCCTCTACTGGAGAACAAAATCAAATAATTAAAGTCCTGCCCGGAGCACCAAAGTCATTATGTTCGCTGACGTTCTGTTTGTGTGTTTCACGTTTATGACACGATAGGTGTGGATCTCCTAGCAACCAGTTTCTTAATGAGGAGAGCAATTAAAGAGGTTGAGCCCTTGCCTCCATGTTCCCCTGCTCCCATGAGACCCTCTGTGTTGTGTGTGTTTGTCTATGTGTGTGTGTGTGTTCTTTACAGGTTACCCCAACCCATCCTTTTTTTATTCCTCTCTTCACCACACTCTTCAAAGCAGCAGAGTGACGCCCCGTAAAGCGAGAAAAAAGCTATTGTCAACCGCCCAGTTGAACATGTCTTTGTCTAATAACTTTAATACACCTTCCTTCTGCTTAACTACTCTCACAAGTTGAGTGTGTGTGTATTCCCCCCCCCCCCCCCCCCCGGCTCAGCTCCACCACAAACTTATTTATCATGCATCAGCAGAGATGGCTCACTTAGTTTCAGTCACCTTTAACAAACAGCGATGTGACACATGAGAGAAGACGACCCTGGTTATAAAACGTAACTCCAGCCAAGTCCTCCACGCTGCTCTGACAAGTCGGAGGCAGACAGACAGCATGCTTTAAATTAGCAACACATTCTTCCTCTGGAGTTCACGGGGCGAGAAGCATCAGCTTTGTGGCTGTCTGACTCCCAATGTGTGGCTTCCTCCCGGCTCATGCTGCCTCTCATTGATCAAGAAGTGCTGCCCCCTACTGGCACAGAGGGGGAACAACGTCTGGATGACAGACTGGTCTCACCATGTCACATTTTGGTTTCACTTGTGTGCACTGTCACACAACAAGCGTATTATGCATTCAGACACGAGTGTGCTTTGAGGCCGCCTGTCACTCAAACATGTATGGATTCTGGCTCAAAGGTGCATAAACATGCTCACAAATAGCTGAGTCTTTCACACACAGCATCACCCCCAACAAATACGGACACGCTCTCTCACACACACGCCCGCGCAGACGCACGTTCTTTAGCTCAGTTCCACGATTATAGAGCCTCAGACAATATAGGAGACTCAGCATAGGGGGCCTGCAGCCCGCCTCATTTGCATGCCAAGTGGCTGTAATGCTGTTAGGGTTTATGCAATACAGACAAGTGAGTCCAGACTGCTGGGTCTAAGAGGAAGAAAGAGAAGGGAAAAACAAGAAGGGGGAAAGATAGGAGGAAAGGCGAAAGAGGAGGGAGTGAGAGAGGCTGAGAGTGAGACAGAGAGAGAGAGACAGACAGAGAGAGAGGGAGAGAGAGAGAGAGAGAGAGAGAGAGAGAGAGAGAGAGTCAAAGGGAACAGATGGCCCAGGGAGAGGTAAAAGGTATAATCCCATCAGCTGCACTATCAACCGACCATCTGGACATCCCACAGCACAATTACAACACATTTCAGCAGGCAGAACAAAGGACGGCTTCACAGGGCCACATCAGACCTGTTTGAGTGTCACAATACTAGAGCTGGAACCTCCTCCGCTCAGATCTTGGGTCAGTTTTAACTCCGTCTACGGCTAACCCTGAACAGAAAAGGAGGAGATTAAAACAGATCACAGGTCAGCAGCTCACAGTCATCTCAGAGCTTAGCAGTACACACACACATACACACACACACACACACGCTGTCCTGCAACATATGGAATTGAAATTGTGTTAATTTTTTCCATTATACTCCAGAGTTTGCAGAGACTTAGTGAGGCAGCGCTCAGGCCAGCAGACCGGCTCTTTGCATCCTCATCCGTCCACTCCTCATGATGCCTATCATCTGCTGAGGGGGCATTGTGCGTGTCTGTCATCAGATCGCCTGTGCTGACTGTGTAATCCACTTCGCCACGGTCCCCATTCAGCACATGCTCCCCGCTCTGTCTGTGCATTGAGACATATGCAAATTTTTTAGGCAGAGGGTTGGAGGGCTTAGGGCCTCAGTCGCTGCCTCTCCATGGGTCCTTCTGCCTGTGGGAGGGGACGCTGGGATTTCCGAGGTGGTGCGTCTGTGCTCGTGTGTGTGATTGTGTGTGCCTGTCATAGGTTTCAGGCTGCAGCTGCCCCCCAACAGTCGCCGTCACCATCAGGCACTTTTTCTTGCCGCCTCCTCCTCCTTCTTGCCCCACCGCGCACCCCTCCTGCCGCCTCCCACCCCTCCCCTCCTCCCTCTGTTCTCTCTCATCCCCAAAGTCAATTTGTTTACAGTAATTTTGAAGGGTGAATTATTTGCTGTAATCGTCCGCACTGATGAAGGTCAGGCCCTTAGAGGGGGCCCAGCATGCCCATAGAGGGTTGGTCCTCTTTCAGACGCTCTGCTTCGCAATTAAGGAAAGCAAATGTCACTCCTCCAGGCCTCACAAATGAAAATCTGTACGAAGCGATTAGCATGAAGTCAACAGCGCCTGTTAAAGTCAGATTCCCTGTAGTACCGGTGTGTGTATGTGCACTTTATGGGCAGGGAGAGAGAGCAAACATGACCTGAACAGACCCAACAGCAAGGCAAACAAAGGGAGATGTCTTGTCTGAGGTGATCCATACAACAATGGCTGACTATGATTTACTTACTGGATGGAAAGGATAAAGGAGGTTTAGAAGTGAGCTTGTACCGGGGAATAAAAGGAACTTGCTGGAAGAGCCGCACACTTTTTTGTGGAGCAGGAAAATAAGAAAATAAATAATAAACCCCACACAATTTACAGTATATTAAGAGATATTGATGAAAAATGATTAAATCTGATATTGCTATTTTATGGCACGTTGTCATGCTGCTTCTGTTGTAAACACGGTGTTTTTCTCAACCCCATATTAAGGTAATGCATCAAATGACAGCGAAAGTGAAGCACAAGATCACTCAAATTAGATTATAATAACAACCCGGAGTGTTGATAAATGACAGAGCTACACAGGAGAAGTCACGCCAGATGAAAAGCATTGTAATAAACAATATGAAATGGATTGAATTGATCAAAAAAAGAAAGCAAAAAGAAAAAAAAGACTCAATCTGAATAATTCATGAGTGCATTTTCGCGTTATGAAATCTGAAACCACACTCGGTGCGCCTGCACTGTGTTGCAGCACAAAGGTAATGAAAAAACATGAAGCAGCAAAGCTTTAGCTTGTCATTTCCACTTTAACAGCCTGCATTCTTGACTCATTTAAGATGTGTTCAAGTTTAAAATTTTTACTGTACATCTGGGTGCATGCTTAATCAATTCTGATAGCTACATTTGCCCTGACACATAATTTGCTCCGTCAAATCATTTTCCTGGTGAGCCTGGCGTTTAGCCTTTGTGAAGTGGACCATTTGAAGGGTCTGCTTAACTACACCACTCCATTGCGCTGATAAATGATTTTGATTCTCATGCCTTAAAGGACAAATCCATCATTTTCCTTCTCTTTTTTTTTTCTGGAGGCAATTTCCATAATAAGTCTTTGTAAGAGAGAGGCGTGGAGAACAGAACGTAGAGGTGATGCAGTAATGTGTCTGAGTGACTAGAGACATGTACCTGTGTGAAGAAGCCCATAGGTGCTGAATTTGCTCTTCTCTTTGTCTTGGATAAGCAGCCACCCCATGCATCAAGGCTATCAGCCCCAGCGAGGGATGGACCACTGGAGGAGCCACTGTCATCATCATCGGGGACAACTTTTTTGATGGCCTACAAGTCGTGTTCGGCACCATGCTTGTATGGAGTGAGGTATGAGTGCTCATCTGTTTTTATAAACAATTCATTCAAAAATATATATTTTTTGTTTTTGACATATTGAAGATCTTCTAATTATTTTTCCCCCTCTGTGATCCAGCTGATAACTCCCCACGCCATCCGTGTTCAGACTCCGCCTCGGCATATCCCCGGTGTCGTGGAAGTCACGCTGTCCTACAAGTCCAAGCAGTTCTGCAAAGGTGCCCCTGGGAGATTTGTCTACACTGGTGAGTCAAAACCTTCTCATCCTGTCCTTCCTTCTCTTCCTGCAGGCTTCCTTTGTACTGCTTCCTGTCACTGGGTGGAGCTCTGGTCAATCAGTCCAGACACTTAGGTTCAGCTGACCTGGTTCTCTTAGCTGTAGTGTGTAAGACCTGCTAAGTTAGTAATACGTCCCCCTGAGCTCTAATAAAGCCAACCTGTTGAGATAACTCTTTCTCCCGACAGTCCCCACCTGTCACTTTAGTGTGGCAGACTATGCTTTCTGTTAATTCGCTGAATTTATGAGTCAAATGTGGTTTCATTTTTTTATGAATCAAATTATAAAATCAATAACTGGGTTAAGTGAATGAGTGTGTCTGAAGTTATTCTCATGTGTGATCAGCATGAATTCATGGGAGAGAAAGTGTGGGAAGAGATGAGAGAAATGCCCTTGTGAGCGAGAGAGAGAGAGAGAGAGAGAGAGAGAGAGAGAGAGAGAGAGAGAGAGAGAGAGAGAGAGAGAGAGAGAGAGAGAGAGAGAGAGAGAGAAAGTGTGAGTTTCACACTCCGAGTAAAAAGATCTGATTATCTTGACTAACAGAAGGAAGTGGCGGTCTTATCTGTCATCATTGGTGAGTAGACAGAGGTTGTGAAGGTCAGAGCCTGTCTGACCTGGAAGCCTCTGTCTGTTCTAACTCTGATGGGCAGAATGAAATTGGGGTGCGTCAAAGCATTCTAACCCCCCCAGCTCTCCCAGTATGGCCTTGCTGTTCTCAAGGCCAGGGCTGTGCTGGAGGAACCGACCCCCCCAAAAACTCTCAGTCCAGACCCCTCCATCCAAGGGCAGCTGTTTCTCATCAAGTCCTCCCCTCTCTCAATCCCCAAACCTCCACGGCTACCCCCACTCCAAAAGCCTCAGTCCCTTCTCCTCCATCCGTGCAGTCTGGGCCGGCTCTCCTGCATTTAACCTCCCTAGCAGGAGCAGAGCAGAGGCCAACAAGGCACTGGGATAATGAAACAGGAGTGTATTGTGGCTGTGTAAGTGTGTGTTTGTGTGTGTGTGTTCCTAGAGTGAATGAGGGTGGTGGGGGGGGGGGGGTGTGAGAGCAAAAGATCGTGTGTGTAAATGTGTTGCCGCGCAGCCCTGAGAAGGTGTATAAGTTAAGACATTAATGGCTTCTATAGCACCCTAGTGAAAGTGCCAGGTCCCTTAAGAACAGACCCCATTAGTCACAGAGGCTAAGCGGATTGGGATGATTACCATCAGGTTCTACTGGAGAAATGTGTCCCCTTCTGTATCTTTGTTGATTTTTCTCCCCCATTCTTCCTCTCCTTCTCACTTCCAGTTGGTATTAAGATACAATTGCCCCTGGAGGCAACTGTGGTACAATTGATTAGTGCGGTGAATTAAAAGGGAAAGTCACCAAAAGACAGGTCCAGCTCCTTCGCTTTCACACTCCCCCTGCGTCTCCCCCTGCTTTGCGGAGCGGCTAGTTTAGGACAATCGTTCACGATGCAAGAGAGATTCCACGTGTACGGTGACTGCTTGATGAAAAGAAAACCAAAAGCCATTTCCCATAAACGTTAAAGTGTGAATTGGCTGATGCATCGAGAGCAGGAGAGAGGATCGTGTATTTAAAAATGAAACAGCTCATTTTCAAAACCGCAGTGTTTCCTTTCTGTTTTATAGCACTTGAACAAATGGGCCTACATGCAGAAACAGATTAGAAAAGAGTCGGAACTGCAATAACACGTTACATGAGCGGAAAGGGCCGTGTAGTGACAGAACGCTGTAAGGAGAAAAAAACAGAAGCACAGAATGTTCTTGTAGAGCACCACATACATTTCAAAGGTCTAGTTATCAAAGCATTTGGCTTCAAGCGGGACTTGACAACACAGCTTGAGAAGAGCAACTTTTTGGGGATTTTTTTCTTCTTTCTTTCTTCATGTTGGCTCCTTTTTCACTGCCGCCCTAATTGTGGAGATTTAACTTGGTCAATTTAAGAAATTATCACAAATTACCAAGAGTCAACACAGAGGAGCCCGCAGTCCGCTGGAGCAGCACGGGGACACGTTCTCACTCAGGTTAGCACCCTGGAACGGCTCCAAAACTCACAATCTATTCTCAGAAAGAGAGCGACCTGTAGTCTATGTCAAATAATCCTGTTGGCATTGACTATCGAATGTTTAAAGCACTAATGGGACAAACAGACAGACTGTATAAAACTTTATTGGGCTGTAGCTGACTGCTTCGAGCAGCTTTTGCGTGTACTTTAACCCACATGACTTTAAAGGGTAATTTTTTTATTGTTTACAGTCTTTTTACCTTTAATTAGAGTGTGGTGCCTTGAGCTCCCATGTCCGTCCTCTGTTTAATCCATGTATTGGATATCTATTGGTCAGGCCAGGACAGGTAGGACTAACTGTCAGCAAGGTTGTAGAAAATCAAAAGGAGAAAGTCGTATTTGTACCTGAGCTGAGAGTTTATTATACTTTTCACTTTATTAGGACAAGCAGCTTTAATGAAATATCTTAAACAAAATAAAAATCTCAATTTGCCGCCTCCTAACATTTTTACTGCATAGTAACAGAGCCGCTTGAAAGAGAAAATAATAAATAAAAACTTGATCGCACAATTCGTCCAATTTAAGCTCTTAATTGCATCAGAGCTTTTGGTTTTTTATCTTTGCCAAGTTTCCATGAGAGCTCCCCTCCAGGGGCAACAATGCAGGCCTCTGGTAATATGGTTCTGCGAGCAGTCCTAACACACTCAGCCACTATTTATCCTAATCAGTGACATCCACATAACCAGGATTGCTTAAAATGAACCCCTTCCGCGCCCCAGAAAACGCACATTTACCAGGACCCCATTTGTCACGGGTAAATTGAGGGTCAGTAAACTTCGCCTGTATCCTCCAGTGGGGATCCAGGACATGCATCATAACGTTAGGAGAGAATGATTGGCGAAGGCAAGCTGTCACATATTTGTCAGGGGGAAGGGAACATTATTTGCTAATTTCCCAAGCTGGGCACTGACAGGGTGCTTCGTCTTCAGACCTTTGGTGACCAGCATGGCTTCTCAGCTATTAGTATAAGTCAAGTGTTATTTTTTTTTTCTTTTTTCCCTTTTCACTGTAAAGCGGCAGTAATAAGAGCCATTCGTTCGACCTCACAAGGCTGCAGCACACTGGGTGAAGGATTTGGGATGAAGCAGATGCCCCGTACAGAGAGTTGTTCTTGCCAGGCCTTAGTGGTGGCCAGACAGCCTTGAGGGCTGATGGATCACAAAGTTTCCTCGTCAAGGTGACGCTATCGACTCCACTGCACCAAAATCTGACAAAATGGGTATGAGGCAGTCATTCATCAACATAAGGACAAAGGGGTCATGTGTGTTTCACTCAATACTGGTGGAGATCAAGACATGTCAACCCTGTGGAAAGGTGGAAAGGAAGAGTTTGATACCACAAAAGTAAGATTTCTTTACGAAGGTTAAAAAAAAGATGCATGATCAAAGGACGTTCGGCCAAACTTCACGAGCGACGCTTCGTCAAAGCTATGAATAGTGTCCGGCGCACACTTAGCAGGCGTGATAAAAAACTTTACATCGTTTTGGACCCCCTCCTCCACCCTCTGAAAATTATACAAACAAGCACAGACGTCTTTATCGGAGCACATCAGAGAGGCCCTGTGCTGTCCAGCTGGTGAATTGAGCCTATCCTCTCCGCCCTGCCGTCACTTTGAAGTCCCAGACTTACAAGCTGATTAGATTGGAGAGCTTCCTTTTCATTTCCTGTCCTGCAGGGTTGGGTTGGGTCCTTCACTAGTGGCTGGTCACTGATGAGGTGTGGTTTGCCGAAAGATATGTTATAATCAAAGGCATTCAAGGAGGTATGTAAACACATCGGCTTCTGAGGCGGAATTACAAACACGTCAAATACTGCGTACAAAAGTTGCGTATTTAGATTTTAAATCGACTTGACGAAGCAATTTTAAATTATTTACAAGAAAGCACACGGAGAAAGGATGACACAGGCATCTATGAATGTCATCACCACAGTGGAGTGGGTTGTAACCAGTTGGCACAGTGGTTTTAGCATGTGTCAAGGCACGTTATCCACTAGCCCTGTCCCGATGCCTGCCTGTCTCATTACAACACTGGTATTTAGCACAAGCTCCACAGGAGTGGAGAAGACACTCGTTGCCAAGTTAGATGGGCCTGGTTTGAAGGCCTTGTGAGCTTGTGTGCATCGCGACAAGGTTCCACGGAGGAAGGTCCCTGTGTCCAATTAGAGGGCTGATGTGACACGTGCTTGCACTCCCCCACTGTCAGGCAGCTTGTCAGGTAGGCTTTGAGGAGCACACTGTGGCATTATTCCACAGCGTGTTATCAGCAAGTGACCTGTGAAATCCAGCAGGAAATTGATTGAAATAAGTGCTCGCAGTTGAGCATGTATATTCCCTATTACGTCGTTCTACCACATGAATTGCGGTCGTCTTTCAAGAGAAAAATGAAAGTATCGGTGAGTTTTTTTCTTCCACTTCTCCCAGTAAGGACAGTATTCATTGATTTCATTTTAATTGGACCCACTTTTTGTCCCACTGTATCGTTAGAGGTCTGTTTTGTATTGACTCTTAAAATGGATTGTCCTCACTAAGTCACAGCATCAGTCCTCAGTACAGCAGGAAAGACAGACAGGAGAGAAAGAGAGGGATGGGGTAGGGAGGGGGCTCTTGCTAGATGAGAATCTGTTTTCTCCTCCTCTTCTTGCCCCATTTTCAGCATGATCCACACCCAACGGGCTTTAAAAGAACTAAGCCCCCACCCCACACCCCCTCGCGCTGCCGCGTTTTGATTGAAATTCATCGGCAAGTTTATTGAGAAATGAATGAGGGAGGCAGCACGGTATTGACTTTGAGAGGAAAACACAACTCATCTTGAATGAGGGGGAAAATTCACCCGTAATTTAGCCGTCATCGATCTGTGCCCCGTCCATGTATTGATCTTCATTTTACAATATTAATTTGC